TGAAGTGGGTCTGTGTTAAAATTTTTGGTTTTAGAATTTTCATGAATATAGGTAAGGTACCTACATTGGAATTMATGGTAGCTTTTGAAGAGGGAAAAGGGAGTAAGAATAAGGCAATACCCCCACCCGCCAAATTAAAAAAAAACTAAGAATAGGTTTCCTATCTAGTATTATAAAGTTTCATTAATTACTATATAATATATACCTTTTTATTATTATTGTATATAATACAATATTAAATCTATTAGTAGTATAGCCACTAATTAGTATCTACATAGTGTTTTTCCGATACATGACCCTCCTCCAAATCAAAGCATAAAGCCGCCGATAGGAACCTGGTGGCAGAGTGTGTGATCTGAAAATGGGAAATTTCCAGATGACCTGTGCCAAAATATGACCTAGTGGTCTGATCTGTAGAAAGCTCATTTTTTTTTTATCAGTTTTATTTTTGGTTATAAAAACATGTTATTATCTTGTCCTATATTTACATTTTTAAAAACTATTTAAACATGTATATATAATATCTTTATTAGTTATTACTGATTAGCATTGGATATTTTCAGACTTGTTCAGTTATGGGGGTCAGAAGGACCTATGGTATTGGGGCCCGGCGTTCATGTAAATAATTACTTCAATATATATTAGGAGAACATTTTTGGGGCTTGGATTTAGGTAATTCTGTACCAAAGCCAAAAATATGATGGGGGGAGGGGGTAATTGTACTATATGGTGTTGGAGCATATACAATCATTATACAATAATTACTAAATATTTTTGAAAAAAGGTTAAACAACTAAAATTTAGAAATAGATTAAAAAGAAAAAATTGTAAGTAATTCGGTGTTACGAAAAGGATAATGGCAAACTATGAAGGCACCGATGACTCAATTTTACAAATAAAAAGAAAATTTACAATTTAAATTTATAACAAATAACTAAATACAGTTAGAACCACTGAAAAGTGAAAATATAGAAAAGCTATYKTCAATTATTAATAAACTTTTAGTAAATCTTTCATTGTTATCTCCAACAAATCTGAATTCGTATAAAAGTTGGTTACCWCTTACCAAATGATTTCTCTATTTTCTCTGCTAAATTAATTGCAAATATTTAAATCTATAATATGAAATAATTGTTATTGTTTTAGATACCTATTCAATTCAATTTGGAACTCAGATATTCCTATACATTTAGCTATATTCGAAGACCATAGTTGAATGATTTATAAAAACTTATTAATAAGTTTTACAGATGTGCCTATTTTATTTTAAATTGAGTGATAGGTACATTATAGGCAAATCAAATAAATTGGGTGGGAGAATAGAAGATGATCATATATACAAACRGAAAATATGAAAATGGTTTAATCATACCCACTTATAGACTAACATTATACCRATAGTAWACTGGTCACTTTTATAATATGACATGCTCATTCAACAGTTTTCTCCAGATCAGTACTTTGTGTGGACTTGTGATGAACACAGCGTATTGCAGTTGACTTATGTTTACTGATTCAATTATTTTTTATCATTAAAATTCATTGAAATAGAAGATACAATAACCATCATAAAGTCAAAATGTAACTATAAATTTAAATATTTTAAGACAGGCTTGTTTTATATTTTTATTTTTATTTTATGTAGTTAGTAGAATTCATCAACAATGAATTTTTCT